CAGCAGGAAATCCCAGAGGGATTTTACCATTTTTAGCTAATGAGTTCAAAGTGTGCTTCAGGCTGAGCTTTCTGGCAATCAGGGTGGTCGAGACATCCTCTGGGCTTTCAGGGCATACCTTGCCATCCTATTGGCCACCTTAACCCACAAGCTTTTCCGAATGGCTGGACCGGAGCCTCTTTTGTTAGGAAGATACTCTTAGAAATATATTAATAGTTGTAGAGAGAGCTTTGTGAAGAAATGATTGTATAATTATTGTAGAGGAAGTATGAAAAAAGTTGCTTTATTACTTGTTAGAAATTTGTAATTTTCATGCTTTTCTTTTCTTTGTCATTTTATGGCATTATTAAGAGATAAGAGCAAAAATGCTGTCAAAGTTCAGAAGGGCTTTCTGAAGTCTATTTGCAGAGACTTTTGTGTATATTTCTCTTTATGCACAGAAAGTCTTAAATAGAAAAAGCAATATCAGTTCACATGATTGAACCATTTTGGTACGTTTTCTCTCTTGTAAAGTTCTCCTGAGCTCCGAGGCAAGCCCACCAACTCAGAAAAACAGTATGTATTCCGAAAAGAAAAGACAGAAACTCGGTAATGATTTTCCTCTGTTCTCTGATGGTTTTCTCTGCTCCTGTGTTCTCTGTGTAGGATCCTTTTACCCTCAATTCCCACCATTTCTTGTCATTCTCTCAGCAGGCACTTCTGTTCCCTTTCAGGCCTCTCATTTTTCCTTTGTTCTCCCATACTGGAAGTAGGAGAATATTTCTCTCTGATGTAATATCCATTTCTGTTACCTGAAATGTTCTGGTCTGCTTCTCAAAACCACTTCTCTTCCTCCTTTTGGGAAAATTAAACATTTGAATTGGGGGTGAAGAAAAAAGGATCTAGTGATTCTTCAGCACCTCAATTGACTTCAGCACCTCAACTGTCCTCAGCACTATACTTAGTAAGTTAAGTCCTCGCAACTTTCCAAGGTAATTATTTTTACCTTTCATTTTACATATGGGACAATTGAGACAAGTTTCTTTCTTCTATTTTGCTATATTCCTTGTTTCTGGTCCTGAAAGCCCACATTTTACCAGAAACCTGGAAGTTTGGGGAGGCTCATAGCTGTCTGTAATAGGTAGAAGGAGAGCAGGATATCGGTGATAGACTTTGGGCATTTCATGACTCAAAAATAACACTCTCTGAGCACGCCACACATACAGAGCCCAGAAATAAATTATATCTTTAATTATAAGTATCCCCCATAATTATGTATTTCAAGGTATGTGGAAGTTCAGAACAGGGCAGGAGACACTACATTGGGGCAAACTTCTCCAGTTGGTGAGATTTTTCTCTAGGGTCCTTTCTATATATCTGGTTTCATGGGAGCCCAGAGTGTCCAGATCCTTTACTGACTCCTAATCAGGTCTCTTCTCTGTGAGTGTAAAACCATAGACTATTCTCTTTCTGAGTCTCATTCATTCACCTACTCATTCACTCATTCATGCATTCATTTTTATTTTTAAACAACACTTTTTTGAGCAACTGCTTTGGGCCGATTTACAATGCTAGGTGCTTTTGTATGTCTCATTCTAAAATGAGCTTCTCTCAGACAGCTTTTCTTTGGAAATGATGGAATCAGCTAACTCCACCTAACTGTGATAATAACTGAAAACATAGAGTGGTAACATTCTCAGAAATGTTTCCATTCTTGAATTTGGACTCACTAGTCTGAATAAATGAAATATCAAGAATAGTGAAATTGCAGCACCAGGTAAAAGTGAAGATTTTATTTATTTCTGTGACCCCTCAGATAATTAACACAGTATACCTCTACCTGTGAGAAAGTCTGGCCCCTGACAGAATACAATTTCTAGGTTTGTCCTTCATGAAAATGCCCTATGCAAGATTTTCACACTTTGGCCTGTATGTCCAAGAAAGAAAGTTTCCCTAAAGTTTAAGGAATTTCTAGTGCTAGTAAGTGGGGCTCCATTTGGAGATGAGTAGAATGGAGGGACCTTCTTTTTGCTGCCCTCCAAAATTGTAATGGGCGGCTCTCAGTCTATATTTCATGGCTTGATTCCTTGCTTTTCCAGTATCTTCTGCCAATGATGTACTATTCTCAGGATGGATCCAGGTCACTGTAGCTAGAGCTAGAGTGATGAGTAAAAGAAAAAGAAAAGAAAGTAATAATAATGGAAAATTCCACATGACTGGAAGTTTTTAGAAATGACATACACGATTTACCCATTTATTTTCCTCTTTTAGAAATCAAAGAAGAGACCTATATTCAAAAGGAATTTTCAAACTCCACCTTCATACCAGATTCTCACACTGACATTCAAATTTATTTATCTTCTGGACCACTGGACTTGAAAAGATTTTTCTTTAATTCTGTGCTAGTTATTGTTCAACTAGGTGAGAAATACAGATAATGTGGATTTGATTCCTAAGAATATCTTTAATGCTCTGTGTTGTTTGGATAAACCGTGGAAGAGAAATCATAAGTCATTGAAGAAATTGAATGTGCTGATCTTGCAGTATGAACACAAGAGAGAGAGCAAGACATGAAGGTTGAGATGGTGTAGTTAATAGTGTTGAAGAGTTATCCTGAGTCGATGTTTGTAATCTGGGTTATCAGTTCAGCATCAGAAAAACAGAAGGCCAAGCTTCAGAAAGTTGGTAAGTAGTCTATATTTACAAATGGCATGAGGGCACAGACCAGAACTGAATCTGAATAGATCACACAAACTGGCCATGGAGATTATGACCAGAGTAAGTTTCCATATCTGTCAACAGTTTCTTGATAAACTGCATAGCATCTGGAATAGCTCTGTGCTGCTTTCTCTCTAATTAACTCCCTTTCTCCTCAATCTGCAAATGTCCAGCCACTACCCTTTTTCACTTTCCATTAATAATCTCAGTTAAATATTTTTTGAAAAATAAAAGCCATTAGCTGAGAACTGCTTCTTTCCTAACACCAAATCTAACTACTCCATGCATGTTTGTTGGATGAAGTAAACTCACTCTCACCTCAGGCCATGCTCTGCTTCTTCTCTGAAACCTAACTGCTCTCAGAGACATCATTTTATCTTATTTGTCCTGTAACTTCTCTCTCTCTACTGGATTACATCAACAGTTTACAAACATCTTTCGGTAGATTTAATAATAAAACAATAGTAACAAATCTAAGACATTAAAAGAAGAACAATAAAGGTGAACAAAGAGTTGATCTAGGGTTAGTATCCTGAAGAAAAGATTATTACAGGTTTTAGGAAATCTAGAGACTTAGGGAAGTTTATCATTTCAGAACGTACATTTTCGAATAGACATGAAACTTTGTAGATGGAGAAGAGGGTTAAAACACTGAGCTATCTGTTAGGCATAAGAAAAGGCTTCCCCCAATTAATTTGGACATTCCAAAGAAAACCCTGAAGGCAATGAGAAACCACAGTGTTGTCTCCGAGTTCATGCTCATCGGGCTGTCTGCTGACCCCCTGACCCAGGCTCTGCTCTTTGTGCTGTTCCTTGTCATTTACCTCCTGACCCTGATGGGGAACCTGATGCTGCTGCTGGTGATCAGGCTGGATTCCCATCTCCACATCCCCATGTACTTTTTCCTGGGACAACTGTCCTTCCTGGATCTCTGCCACTCCTCCGTCACTGTGCCCAAGCTTTTGGAGAACCTCCTGTCTGAGAAGAAAACTATCTCCTTAGAGGGCTGCATGGCTCAGGTCTTCTTTGTGTTTACCACAGGAGGTGCTGAATCCTGCCTACTGGCTGCGATGGCCTACGACCGCTATGTTGCCATCAGCTCTCCTCTGCTCTATGGCCAGGTGATGAACAGACGACTGTGTATGGGGCTGGTGTGGGGCTCATGGGGTTTGGCTTTTCTGGATGCTCTCATCAATATCCTTGTAGCTCTTGATTTAGACTTTTGTGAGGCTCAAAATATCCACCACTACAGCTGTGAGATGCCCTCTCTCTACCCTTTGTCCTGCTCTGATGTGACTGCAAGTTTTACTGTCCTGCTCTGCTCTAGCTTCCTGCATTTCTTTGGAAATTTCCTCGTGATTTTTTTTTCCTATGTTTGCATTTTGTCCACCATCCTGAGCATCAGCTCCACCACAGGCAGAAGCAAGGCCTTTTCCACCTGCTCCTCCCACCTCACTGCAGTGACCTTCTTTTATGGCTCAGGATTTCTCCGCTATCTCATGCCCAACTCAGGATCCACTCAAGAGTTAATCTTCTCCTTACAGTACAGCGTGGTCACCCCCATGTCGAATCCTCTCATCTACAGCCTGAAGAACAAGGAAGTGAAGGCAGGTTTGAGGAGGTTGCTGAGAAAATATTTCTAGTGCTCCTAATAATAGACTACTACATCAGAATGATGAGGAAACTGGGTAGAACTGCAACAAGTAGTACCTAGATATTAAGGAGAATTCTCTTGATGTCAGGATCTGCAACATACCCTACAGCTTTTCTTAAAAATACTTAAGAAAAGGTGGCGTTGATTTTCTTAGAATGATACCAGTTCAGTCCTAGTCAGAGGAAGGTGGGTGGATAAACCTAGCAATTTTTCTTACAAAAATATTTAACTTATTACACACACTATGGAAGACACTGTTATTGCCTGCTCAGTTTATCTTTACCATCCTTCTAGTAGCTAAACTCCGCTTGTTCAGCGGAGTTCCAGAGAGACTGTCAATCATGGTGCCCCCAAATCCTCTCCCCTCCCTTGCTCATTATTCACTATTCTTCCTGGCACACTGGCTTGTACAGGAATGAACACATGGACAGTGTCAGACTATTCATTCACTCTACAAGGAATTTTAATCTTGAGAGATCCAGAGAGGCAGAGGTCAGCCATTCCATCTGCAGCACTCTGACAACCTATTCCAGGGTCCCTGCTAATAAGATCACTAGTGTTACCCTAGATTCTTTTCAAGGCAAATTTATAAACATGAGTTATATAGTAAGAGCACATGATTAGATATGTACATCATGTCAGGCACTGTGCTAAACACTTTACACACATTATCGCATTTAAATATCACAACAGTTGCTTTAGGGAAATGCTTTGGTTGTCCTTGTTTTAAGAAGAGGAAACTGACTCAGAGTGCTAAGTGGTGGGATGGAATTTGAAACCAAATAGACTTACCCCAAAGCCTATGTTCTTTACCACCCTGACCCACTGACTCTCCCCTTGATGCTGGGATCTACCCGAGTCTCAGCTTACTAATTTCCTTTTAAATGCTTTATTATTCTTGTTGTCTTACTTTATTTTGCATAAGTATTAATTATTAAGTATTGATTAGATTCTGTCATTTGCAAGGCAAAGACCTAAAAGATATATATTGGTACACCATGGAATTGCAGGTGTAGACATCCAAGGACAATGGGGATATTTGAAATCATTTATTGGATGAATGCATGTCCACTACAAATAATACATTTGTATATCCTGCATCAAACCATTTACCTAATGGCCAACTATCCCCAGCCATGAGGGGGCCTCATGACAAGAGAAGACTCCCCAGCACACTGCTAGACAAGAGCTCTGCCACTCAGCCTTAATGGTGCTGCAGAAATGGCAGAACAGGAGACTGTCAGTGGCAGAGCAAGTGCTGCATAGGGCCTGTGGCAACTCCAAAATGAAACAGAATTTCAGCAAGTCTCTCAGATCATGAAACACAACTGGAGAATTAGTGAGGAGGAGATTTGGGAGAGGTGTGTGGACTAAAATTATCATGGTCAAAAATTAATTATTATTTCTTTCTGAAATTAGTTTTTGCTTATTTACAAACTGTCAGCTGTCATTGTCTCCTTGATCAACACTTTTGATTTACTATAAGAGTTCTCTTCTAATCATATTTTGCTAAGCATTGGTATAAAATTTCATGAAATGCATTTTCTATTTCTATCGAAGACTAGGAATTTTTCCCTTTTGTTTACTAATGTATAGTGTCTTTCACATAATAGGCATGCAATAAATATCTGTTACATAAAAAATAAATTTATTGAAACAGTCATATGGTTTTTATTATTTTATTTTTAAATATTAAGTTGTATCAGTAGGTGCTCTTGTGTGGAAGAATTGTTGCATTCCTGGAATCACCCTACTTAGGTAGAGTAGTAAAAACAGAATTAACTTTCATTAGTATTTAACTTAAAAATTTCCTGTTTATGTTCATAAGTGAGATAGTATACAATTTTTTTCTTGCATTCCTCTGGTCTTTTTAAAAGCTTTATTGAGATTATGTTTTACACATCACGAAGTTCACCTATTCAAAGCATATAATGCAATGGTCTCTAGCACATTCACAGAGTTGTATAATCATCACCACAACCCAATCTTAAAACATTTAAGTCCAAACCCTCCTCCTAGGCAATCACTAATTTACCTTTTACCCATATAGATTTGCCTATTCTACGCATCTGATCTTGGCATCAATAGCATGCTTTCTTTCATCCTTGTATTTTCTTAAAATACTTGCATAAAAAAAGGGGTTATCATTTCCTTGAAGGTTTTATAAAACTCATCTATAAAATTTTGAGGATTTTTTGTCTTTTTGTAGTCGTGGAGGAAAAATTTTGATTGCCTATTTATTCCTTTTATGATAAGTGATTTAATTCAGGTTTTATATTTGTTCATGAATCAGTTTTAGTAACTTATAATTTTTGCCTGTTATTCATTTAATGTCTTAAGCTTCATTGATATTTGGTTACTTGTAATATTCTAATATTTTTCCCATGTTTTTTCAACATTCATTTAATTTTAAAATAAAAAAAACTTCAAATATACAGCAAAGCTGGAAGAATTCTATAGTGAACATCCATATAGCCACATCTAAATTTTATTATTAACATTTTAGTATATATGTCTTATCTACTACCTATCATCTATCTGTTCACCAATCCATCTTTTTTAATGCATTTCAAAAAAGTTATAGTCATCAGTACACTTCACCCTAAGTACTTCAGCATATACATCACTAACTAGAGTTCAAAGTTTTACCATACCTTCTCATTTTCTTTTGAGGTAAAATATACGTGCTGAAATATTAAAAGTGTCAGTCAGCGAATTTTGAGAAATGCAAACTGCTGTGTAATTCAAATCCCTATTCAGATATAGAGCATTACCACCGCCCAAGCAAACTACATCATATCTCTTTCCAGTCACTTTTGTCCCCACTTCCCTACTTGTTAACCACCGTTCTGCTTTCTGTACTATAGACTAGTCTTGCCTGTTGCAAAACATAAACAGAATTTACAGTATGTATAATTTTGTTAAAATTCTTTCATTAGTCATGTTTTTGAAATTCATCCATGTCATTCTATGTATCAGTAATTTGTTTCTTTTTATTGATGAGTAATATGCCATTGTATAAATGCATATCTATTTGTTTATTCATTCCATTGGCCTGCTTCCAGTTTGGGGCTATTATGAATAAAGCTGCTATGAACATTCTTGTAAAAGCCTTTTTGTGCATAATTATTTTCATTTCTTTTGGAGACTATCTAGTATTGAAGTTATTGGGTCATAAGTAGGTATAAGTTTTATAAGAAACTGCTAGATATTTTTCCAAAGGGGTTATATCATTCTATAGTTCCACCAACAGTGTTTGCAAATTCTGGTTCATCTACATCTCACCAACATTTGGTATGGTCAATCTTAAATTTTTCATTTTTATGGCTGTCTACTGACATATCCATGTAGTTGGCATTTCCTGATGACTAATGATATTGAACACCATTTTCTATACTTATTAATCATTCACATATTTTATTTTATGAAGTGTTTATTCAAGACTTTTGCTCATTTAAAAAATTTTTTTTTTTTTAAATCAAGTAGTAGGAGTTCATATATATCTTGGGCACCAGACCTTGTCAAATATGTTTTGTAGATATTTTTTTCCAGTTCATCATTTCTCTTTTTACATTATTAACAGTGTCTTTTAAGTGCAAATTTAAAGATTTTGATGAAGTCTAATTTATTTTTTTCTATTACATTTCCTGCTTTTTCTATCCTAAGAAATCTTTGCTCAAAACAAGGTCACAGAGATTTTCTCCTATGTTTGTTTCTAGAAGATTTTTTTTTTAAATTGAGATTTAATTGACATCTAACATTGTATTAGTTTCAGGTATACAACATAACAATTCAATATTTTTATATTTTGCATAATAATCATCACAATAAATCTAATTAACATCTGTCACCACACAGTTCCAATTTTTTTCTTGAGATGAGAACTTAAAAGATCTATTCTCTTGGCAACTTTCAAATATGCAATACAGTATTAACTATAGCTGTCATGCCATGCATTTCGTTCTATGGCTTATTTATTTTATCACTGGAAGTTTGTACTTTTTGACCTCCTTCACCCATTTTTCCCAGTAATGTCCCATTCCCCATCTCTGGCAAACACCAACCTGTTCTCTGTATCAGTGAATTTTTTTTTTTTAAGATTCCATATATAAGTGAGCTCATACAGTGTTTGTCTTCCCTGACTTATTTCATTTACCATAATGCCCATAAGTTCTATCCATTTTGTCTCAAATGGCAAGATTTCATTAGTTTTTTATAGCTGAATAATATTCTACTACACATACACACACACCACACATAAATATCACATTCTTTTTATTTATCCATCAATGAAAACAGGTTTTTCCATATGTTGGCTATTGTAAATAATGCTGCAATGAACATGGGAGTGCATATATCTTTTTGAGTTAGTGTTTTTGTTTTCTTTGGATAAATACCCAGAGGTAGAATTGCTGGATCATATTCTAGTTTTAATTTTAATTTTTGGAGGAACCTTCATACTGTTTCTAAAGTGGCTGCACCAATTTACATTCCCACAAACACTGCACAAGGGTTTCCTTTTCTCCACATCTTCGCTAATACTTGTTATCTTTTTTTTTTAATAGTAGCCATGTTAACAGGGGTGAGATGATATCTCATCATGGTTTTAATTTGCATTTCCCTGATAATTAGGGATGTTGAGCATTTTTTTCATATACCTGTTGGCCATTTGTGTATCTTCTTTGGAGAAATGCCTTTTGGGTTTCTTTGCCAATTTTTTTAAAATCCTAAATTTGGTTTCTTAAAAGACTGATATTCTCAATATGTTTGATGAAATAGTTCTGTAGTGGTCAACTGGGGGTGGAGTTGGGGATGTGGGTGAGGAGAGCGATGACAGGAACTAAATTTTGGCCACCTCAAAATTGGCAGTTTCATTAATAAAATAACTATCATTATTAATGTGAGAGAGTGTTATAAATATTACTTGGATGTGTAGTGGTAAAGTACAAGAGAAAGCACAGAAGACCAATGTCACTGCTTAAGATGGAG